ATTAAAAAAAAAAAAAGTATCGAAGTTGGTCCAGCCGTTCTCTCGATCCATTTTTATATATATAGATAATATTTTTTCTCTAATGAAGAAGCATTAAAAGTGTTTCACATTATAATTTGACTAAACCTTATACTCAATCTTTTTGATTTAATATTCAACCCCTGTTCCAAAAACGCATCCTTCTTCCACATTGATCCTGCATTTAGTGCCTGAAGAATTTAATTGTGTGTGTTCTTAAATAACTGAAATTACGAAGCTTCATTTAGCAGTGCTCCTACTTTACAATTACAGAATTACCATTACTTGATTAATGGTTTTCTTGGATATCGCTTAATGAGACTAACAAACGTTCAATTCATTATACAGTTATAGAGGCGTAAACATTTCGTTGATAATCAACGTATATTATGTAATATTTTTACAATCGATAATTCCGTAAATAAATAAGATCTAACGATGAAATTGATCGACCGTTCTCCAGTTTTTAGAAACAGATAGATATTAGCTTCGTCAACTGTGTGAATAGAAAAGGCTTTTTATTTGTGAACAAAAGTTTTCATTTGTTTCCAACGTAAACAACAATTTTTGTACGTGTCCAAAGTTAAAAAGAAGATTGTAATAAAAGTGTGAGTGAATGTCAGGAAAAGAACGTCTTTGAGTGATAACGGTTATTTTTGTGACAAATATTAGTAGATCGTTTGGCACCATCTACCTTCTTGACCGTTAATGGAAATTATTGTGTGTGTATGTGTGTATCATTCATCCAATTGTGAATATTTTCCAATGGAAACCTATTTCTATTTACAGTATTTAATTATGTTAATAGGATTTATATCCTATAAATGGTATTACTACATATACTACAATGTATGTTTAAAAAAGGTCATAGGTCTGTAGAAGTATTCAATGAGAAAATAAATTTCTTTCCAAAGAAAAATAATGATTGTTTTAAATTATTTAGAATTACTGCTAATTAGACAGATTAGGCGTTTAATTTAATTATCTCGTTTAATCTATGCAGTCACCTGAATAACGATGATTAGATAATACTCGGTAAACAATGTTCCCTTTTTTATTGAAAATAGGAAATGTCGTTTGCAGCTGCATCGACCGAATCAACCGTCAGAAATTGATATAAATGGTCACTTCTTAGCCGATAAGACAACCACAAACCTATCGGATCGAAATGAATAGCGAGTTTTTGGAACTTTTTAGCGTCGTCATTTCTAAAATGTTTTACGGTGTATTACGTTGCTGGTTTTGGATTATCTGTTTCCTGACAAAACACTAGAAGTTATTATAAAAACAACTATTAAAACTCGTAAAATTGATTTTGTAATAATTATTGAGAATAAGAAGAAATTTCATTGAAAAAATATAAACTTTATTTTGTTATTAAAAATTGTGTCCATTTCTACTATCCATTTTTGGACAGCTTTATTTGATCACTGGAAGCACATCTTCAAAATTCCAGTTGTTTTCGAATTTTTATTTTCCCCGATAAGTATTGTTATTCACAAAAGTTTACCATCTAGGCTCTAGGCACTTGCAGATTCGTAATGCTAAAGATTGGCCGGCGGATTCCGCACTTTTTTTAAAATCCTGCTGGGTCCCGGATAATGACAAACATGCAAACACCAGCAATAATAATTTAAAAGTATAATAAAAAATCTCCTAATGAAAATTGGTAATCAAGATTGTATTGGGATAGGTCGTTTGTTTTAATTTGCATTATTTATTGACTAATTAAATTATTTGTTATTTCGATAGTTCTGGTGTCAATCAATAAAAATTTCATCTGTTTGGTGTCTAAATTACTTTTGACGATTTTTTGAGCGGGACTCAATCTAGCTTGGGACGTTAGTGACGGTGGTATTTAATAGAAAACCCGCCAGAACAAACCATTAAAGGTATACTTCAGCAATTCAGTATTAAGAGCAACCATCAACTAAATCCGACTACAAATAAAAAATACCCCGTAGAAACTTTGCAACCTCTTTCCCTTTGATTAATTATGTCAAAGAACATAAATATCAAGTTTTAAGTAAATTCAACGACAATAAAATATGTCCCAAACAAATACCCCTTTTTACCCAAGCCCCCTTTGGACTTAAATTATTTAAAATGCCGAAATAGGTGTTTCACAAATTAAATGAGCGAGCATTAAGACTAAGTTTCAAGTAAATCTGACCACAAATACTATATGTCCCATTCAAACATTACAACTCGTCCCCCCCCCCCACTGAGGTTGACCAAAAACAAAAATGTTCCATATAATCTTTGCAAACTCCTTTCAGCTTCCTGCAAAGGTTGAATTTTTTAAAATTTTGAAATGGGTATGTATATCACTATTTTTACATGAAAGAGCCAAGTTTCAAGTAAATCTAACTATAAATAGCATATAAACGTTGCAACCCCTTTTCACCCTATTTCAAAGGTCGAATTTTTTAAAATGCTGAAATAGGTGTTTGATTTTATGCCAGTGAGCCAAAAAAAAGTTAACATTTATAACATGAACTTTTTTCCATATAAAAGTACTATCCAAATCTCCGGATTTTCCGGTGTATTTTCCAAAAATTTTCTTTCACACAAATCTTGTCCTATCAATTNCTCCTTCCGTCCTGACTTATCTGACTTCCTAGATATCTAAAATCAGCCACTTCTTCTAATTTTTTGTCTCCTATCTTTATATTCGCTCTTTCCCTACTTTTTATTCCCTTGCATACCAGTATTTTCATTTTATACCTACCAATTGGTTTTAGTCTTGGTCTCGTTCATTCGGCCTTGGTCTTGTTAGTATAAAGACAGTTTTGGTCATGTTAAGAAAAATTAAAAACGTTAAAAAAATTAATCATGGCCCTGTCCACATGCATACTAATAAAAGAAAAATCATTGTTCATGTGCCACACGGGCGGCCCGATTTCGTTACATAATTATACATATATGTACCGCAATGTAATTATATCCGTGTAGGATGATAATATTTTTAAATAAATGAATCTTATTTAGGAGCTTTCAATTACTTTTGTTATAACACCTGTACCATTAAATAATTTTAAATTACCTGATAACCTTTATAAGGGAAAGAAGCTGATATAAATCAATTTTAAAAAACAGAATTTAAATATACGTACATCACCTATAAATACGATATTACCATAACAATTTATTTAAGTTATTCTTTTTTTTTGCAGATTTTGGTGGATGGATGCAATTTTAGAGGGCAAGTGCGGCAGTAGCGGTAAGTCCAATTAATGTTCATTTTTCTATGAGTCGCAAAAGCTACTCCTAAATACGTACCTACTCTATTTATTAAAGTTGGTAATGTGTGAAGATAATTTGAAATAGGCATAGTCTGGAAAGCCTAGCACTGTAATGCAAGCAAAATTGAATAACTCTTGCTGAAAATTTAGTGCTAATTTAGTGTTAAAATTAGAAATTTGACCCTTTTTCGGGAGCTTTCGAAACCCATACGGATCCTATAAAATAATATAGTTACTTCAGTTTGTCATGACGTCGTCTAATGGATTCGTCAAAGGGGAGGCATCTATAAAACGTGGGGCAGGTGAAAGGAATATTTTTCATAATCCCTGTAGATTTTTCTAAATAATATAAAATTATTAGTATGACAAAATACATGATTCAAACCAAGAACGGTAGTTTAATAAGTTTTGGTAGCGTCCCGCGTATGCATTCAAGTATATTTTTATGAAAATGTCACGTCACCCCTTTGTCTAACTGTGACGCTACCCTAGAACCTCCCTTCCCCTCTGCCCCGTGATACAAAATATGAACAGCCCCCAGGTGGTATCTACACCTATTTGACTGATCGCGTCAATAGTTCAATAGGTATCTAATAGGTACTTATCTTAAAAAAAACGCGATTTATCACTAATTATTATTCCATCGCGTCAGCTTGTACACACGTAAGACCCACCGTTACTGATAATGATAACAGTCAAGCTTCTTCTTTTTATTTTTCTTCTTCCTTTTCTTCTCGCATTCGTGTGGTATCATGTACCAGTGGTCTTAAAATATGCATATTCTCTCGGCTCTTTTGAAAACATCATTACAGCTAAAAGCAATTTCCTTTTAAAGGCAGCGCAACTCGCTAGATGTAAACCGAAGTAAGAGAGGTTTTATTTTATTGTTTTCCTGTTAGCAGATTTGTTTTTGCTTTCGTTTTATTATTTTTTTAATGTAAATGAACCATGTATAATGTTGGAAGAACCGTAGAAGGCTGATAATGTTTGTCCTTTTTTTTTCTTGTTAAACGTATGCATAGTTATTTTAATTATTCTGTCATATTGTCACATGCCGTGTTAGGTAATTAACGATAACGTTAAGTATAGTTGGATTGCATCTTTCATAACGTAAACATTATTTTGAAAATTATATTCAATCCATATTGTTGTTTTTAATTATTATCTAATGCCTCGCAGGGTCTGAAGAATTAATTAGAATTATAATATGTTTATCATTGAAAACGTCAAAAACTAAACTTTCTGTCCGATTTCACTCCAAAGGGAATCTGGTTGTTTAATTATTAAGAAAATTAATAAGAGTTCTTCTGTCATAAAAATTAGCAGCAAAAACCAAACAAATTTTTCTTCTACGTAATAGATTGTGTTTACAAATAAAGGTTTCGTTTGTGTTATCTGTTAAATAAAGCAGAAAGAACAATTTCTTATTTTAATCAGTCAATAAAATGTTGCAAATCTTTTCAAAATTAGTCGCATTATTGCATTTATTTACAATAATTAAACAATTCCGAAATCTATTCAGTAGCTACTGACAATTTCGTAAGTTTTTCAATGCTTTCCCTACACACATAAGTTAATCTGACTGGTGAGTATTTTATTTTACCAGTTCATCACAAAAGTTAATAATTTTCAAATTTATACTTAATACAAATAATAATATTTTTTGTTTTAAGTTTTTTAACTTTAACTTCTTTCATTCATTTACTTGCGGCGCAGCGCAGTGAAATTTAAATTCCAACTAAATATTGTTGAAGTGAATAGTGGCGTTATCTGTTAGCGAAAATCACTTCCATGATGTTTGAAAAGTAAACGTATTCCAAAGTATTCTGTTGTAAAGGTCACATGGTCCCTGCCTCCTTGGTTGGGCGCGAAATTGGCGGTCTCGGTATCAGGAAAGCATAAGCGGTAACTCCTCTGCGCTTGCAAGTGTAAAAGTCCGCCGACGTACCGACTGACTATGTAGTTATTAGTGTGTGATACTTCTGTATCGCGTTATAATCCTGACCTATACTCAGTAACGTCAGCATAGCGCCGTGAACTATTATGTTCTCCTAATACTTGGAATATACGTTTAAGAACTTGCAAGTAATCATCGTGGTCTTCTAATTAATTATTTATGCGACTACTTTTACATTATTAGGTTGAGTCACATTGCATTCAGCTATTCTATTCATTAATTAAAAAGATTTATATGAGCATACAACATGTTCATTAGCATAAATCTTTCTTTATTTATGGAAGTATCGTTATCAATATTGTACAATGGGGTAATAAATTTTAATCTTGTAATTGCAGTATATGTAAAAAACTATGCTTCTATAAATTTCATACTTTGTAGGTACTTTTTGTCGTATAATACTATTCTGTGAATATATAGAATATTTATTTAACAAATTGAACTTAACGTATGCCATCATATAGACATTCTTTACGTTGAATGAGAAAATAAATTAACTTAACTTTTTATCATGTTGGTTGATAAAAATTATGCCGCTGTCTCATCAAAAGGTAATTAATTAGTAATTGAATTTTAATCTTTATTTACATATTTATTGCTATTATTTTTTTGACCAATTCAAAAGTCTTTCACTATTAAGTATGTTAAAGTGTTTTTAAGTTTCGTGTCAAAGATCTTCGACGACCACTTAAAACTAATTTTTCTATCCTTGGGGAACAGTATTTCTTTTCTGAATAAAATGTATCCTATGTCCTTTCCTGTATTATTGACAATGTCTGTACAAAATTTCATGATGATCGGTTGAGTAATTAAGGCGTGAAAAAGTAACAAGCAAACAATCAAACTCGCATTCGCATTTATATTATTATTGCTTGAACGTTAACGCTGTAGATAAAGAATTGAAATTCCAAAAAACGACAGTATCAAAGTTATAAAAGTTTCTTCATTCCAACTAGACAGCAACTAGATAAAAATTGTTTGTGTTTATTCGTAACTAATTTGATATTTATCTACTGCAGAATTTATCTGTTCTACAAGAGCTTTTAATCCTGAAATTAGGATAGCAGTATTCTCAGTATATCTAGCTGAAAATAAATCATGTTATTATCTTCTTCTCAATTAATTTACTGATTTACTGACTTCGGTTTGTTGTAAGCAATGTTTTCATACTATTTCCAGGGTGAGGAGGGACTAATTTTTATTGTTATAAAACAAAAACGTTGGGAAAGAGGCGAGGAACCAGTCTCAACTTAAGGACTTGTCAAAATTGGATTAAATGTTGAAGTAAAAGTAGATACATGTTGAAGAAGCTATAGTCAAAATCCTGAACTACATAAAAATTACTTTACCATTACTGAAAACAGTTTTTGCAGGATAATATTGACCATTAAATATCAGTTCTAACGCATACAAAATCCTAGTCCTTGCGATTTGACGGTTTCGTGATTTTAAAAACAGATTAAAATTTTGCATCTCATGTAAAGGATAGTCGAACAAAATTTTTTGTAATTCGGAAAAAATACACAAACCGTATCAGTCTGTAGGTTTATTTGTAAAATAGTTAATTCTGTTATTTTACGTAATAAAATTAAAATATACGGAACCTCCAGCAATTACCCGTTCTTACCTTTCATAGGTATATACGAGGGTGGATTGATAAGTTTCCGGCCTAACCAAGAGATGACGCCACTAGGCCTACCTTGAGGTGACATTCTATAGTACCATCCTTGGATAGCTTGTAGCTATAGTTTCAGCCCGATCTCCTTGCTAG